TCCTCTTCCTGGGTCTCGCTGATCATTGTGACAGTTTCGACTTGGTGCTGCTTTGCTTTCTGTAAGGCCAATTCGAGAGACATAGGCTCTGGGCAAGACCCGAATGCCTTCTCCTTCTCCCCTGGCATCCAGTCGGGCCCTTCTTCTAGCATCCTGGAAAGGCCATCCGCATTTCCATGTTTAGCCCCAGCTCTGTGGACTACATTGAAGTCAAACTCTTGAAGTTGCTGTTGCATTCGGAAGGTCATTCCATCGGGTTCCTTCTGCCTAAAGAGCCATTGAAGGCTGGAGTGGTCGGTGCGAAGGACAAATTTTACCCCCCAGATGTAGGGTTTGAACCATTTCACCGCTTGCACCACAGCCAAGGCTTCTCTTTTTGTCGTTGAGTAATTCGTTTCTGTTTTTGATAGTACCCTGCTAGCGTACACAAGTGGTCTCTCCTCCCCGTTATTGACGTTCAAGAGTACAGCGCCCAAGCTGGTATTGCTCGCATCCGTGTCCAATATGAAGGTTCCCGTATAGTCAGGAATTTCCAGAACTGGGGCCGTAATAAGTTCTTTCCGTAGTCTATCGAAGGCTATCTGACATTCGTCGTTCCAGATAAAGGGCACCTTCTTTTTCGTCAAAGAGGACAGGGGACTCGCAATCCCGGCAAAGTCCTTCACAAATCGACGGTAGTAATTGCAGAATCCGAGAAAAGACCTCACCCCCTTAACTGTTTTCGGCACTGGCCAGTTCTCAACCACTTCAACTTTCTTGGGATCCACTTGGATACCTTCATTTCCAATTATGTGGCTCAAATAAGTCACCTCCTTCTGTACCAACCTGCATTTCTTCGGCTTCAGTTTCAAATTTGCCTCCCGTAGTAGCTGGAAGGTAGCCTTCAGGTGTGCAAAATGGTCGTCTTCGCACTTGCTGTACACCAGCACATCATCGAGGAATACTAGGGCCCACTTCCACATGTGGTCCCGAAAAAATTCATTCATGAGCCGCTGCAACGTTCCTGGAGCATTGGACAGCCCAAAGGGCATCATAACGTACTCATAGAATCCTCCATCCGGTGTCACAAAGGCTGTCTTGTGTCGGTCTTCCTCGGCTACTGGCACTTGCCAATACCCACTCGCCAGGTCGAGGGAAGAGAAGTACTTCTGCCCGTTAAGAGCATCGAACGTTTGATGTATCTTCGGAATCGGAAATGCGTCCTTGACCGTTACATCATTCAGCTTCCGATAATCCACACAGAACCGCCAACTCCCGTCTTTCTTCGTTTGCAAGACAATTGGTGCACTATAAGGGCTTTTTGAGGGTTGAATCACCCCTTTCTCCAGCATGCTCTTAACTTCGTCCCTGATGATCGGCATTTTTGCGGGAGATGTTCGATGGGGGGGGGATCTTGATAGGGGCCAAGTCTCCAGTATCAATCCGATGTGTCACCAATTTAGTTTGGCCAAGTTCGGCATCTGTCAAAGCGAACACATCCCTATAAGTACTGATCAACTGTTTCAGCCGGTCCCTCTCCGTTCCTGTCACTTCGGGAGCTGCCAGTTCTAGAATCTTCTCTATATCTTCATCTAGATGTTGTTTAGCCCGTACCTGAAAGTCCATCGACCCTTCCTCTTGCATTCCCTGCACCTCGGGGTCCTGACTGACGGGGGGCAAACCTTCTACAACATCCCCCATGGCATATGGTGACTCGACGTTTGACCCACCAAGAGAAGTGTGTGGTTCGGTTAACGGGGTACTATGCGACGAGTTTACATCCCAGTAATTATCGTCCTCTGGCGAGTGTTTAGGGTATGAGGTCACCTTCAATATTTCATATTGCAGGGGAACTATAGATCCCTCCTTCCGTCCCGTCCAGAGGTTGTCACACTGGAAATCTAACGAGCATTCATGCTCCTTCAAAGACCGAAGTCCTATGATCATCTCCACTTTCAGCTCAGGCACCACCAGGGCCTCGACCTCATCGTCGATTGACCCTAGCTCCAAATTAGCCGTCACCCATCCCTCGACTCCCACTTGCCTTCCATCCGCTGTTTCTAGTGTCCCTTTGTAGGGCCGTAACGGTGGGGCTGTAGTCAAATTATGGTACACCTCGCTTCGTATTAGGTTGATCGTAGCTCCCGTATCCACTAGTGCTTTTACCGGTAGCCCGCCCAAAATCGCTTCCGCTATTAGCCCGAATGGCGCTTCGGGCACTCGGCAAACACTCACGAATTCCAAGGAACTCTCTGTCTGACACTGGATACTCGTGAGTTGTTTAGGTTCTTCCGGTCGACTGGGGGTCGTTTGGTGGAATAAAGTCTGAACCTGCTCTGTTCCTCGAAAGCCTTCGCCTCTCATTTGCACCTGAGGGCTCGTCGTGGGGTCCAAGCGGTACATAGAGGGGTTGGAAGTGGCGGATGGGTAATTTACTCGCTGTTGATTCTTTATCTCGGCCGGGACAAAACCTCCCTGATGCATATTCAATGCCCCGGCCCTTGGTAGTTTAAATGATCCGAATTCTTCTGGGGACACTCCTTCGCAAAATGACCCGGCTGGCCGCAGCCAAAACAGTTCCCACGGGGTATCTGGTTTTTTATTCCGTAACGACCTCCAAGGCCAGGAGATAAGTTCGATCTATTCTCGCCGGGTTGGGGTTCGTATAGTTGTCGGGGTCTTTGGGAAGGTTCCGACCGCGGTAAGTTTTCCGGGTGGGGAACGGGGATGATAGAATTAACAAACCTACCCATCATGGCCGTCATGTTCTGCATCTGAGCTAACAGATCATTCTGGACACTCACCAGTTGGTCGATGCGGGGGTCATTGCTCGCCTGCTGACGTCCCTGACCAGCTCCCACTGGTTGGCTTCGAGGGATCTGTCCGCCTACATTCCGACCAGCCTCAGCACCCGGCTCTGGGACATTTTCGGCAACCCTCGCAAGGTGCAACTTTCTCCGGTTCCTGGCCCTGGACGTTTTATTCACAAGATCCAAGGCTTGGGCACGGGCAACTGCTTGCGCTAGGCTTCCAAGATCTTCTCGCAGAAGTAGGTCTTGAAGGTCCACGTCAAATAGCCCGTCTATGAACTGTTCTCGGTTCATATCGTCTCGAGCTTGAGCTCCCACATTTCCATTAGCAACATCTCCAAGTGATCGGATTCGCCGAGAGAATTCCCTCAAACCCTCCTTGTCTCCTTGCATCAGACTTTTGAACTCCGCCCTAGCCGCTGCTTGAGTTTGGAAGGGCATCATACGCTGGTCTAGTTTGGCCAGCATCCGTGCAAGTGTTGGAGCTGGGAAACCGTCTTACTCCTCTCTGAAGTGGGCTGGCATGCTGGTAAATTCATCCAGAGCCCATCCTGTCAGACACGTAGGCAACACCATCCGAGCCTGTTCATCTTCCCATCTGTTAGCATCCGCAACCCAGGCGAAATGCTTCCTCCAGTCGGCCCAGTTTTGATAGCTACTGGAGGGAAACCGATCGAGGCGAATGGTGCCAAAGCCAAAGACTCCTTGCTGCCTGTCCAAAGCATTCGCTGCCGCCACAGCAGCCTCTGCCAATGCAGCTCTATCGTCGTTGTTCATCATCGTGTTTGCTCACGGGATGATTGTTCGTTCGTTTGCAACTTCAGTCTAGGACAAAGCCCACCCAGGAGCGCCAATGTCGTCTTTAGGATTTTCACACACAGTCTTGCGAAGCTATCCCTTTTACCGTGCTAAAGCAGGGGGGCACTAAGGCTCGGTATTAACGACAATCCCGAAAGGGTTATTTTTAGTGGTGAGTTGTCCTCTACTGTATTCTATTGCTCCCCCTTAGTCAGTGATGCTCTTGCTTGCTATATCTCGCTTGAAGTCGCGTATAACGAATTCCTTTCTCTCAAATGAATTCAATATATGTATAAGTCTGAATGAATACAAAGGGCCTACTAATTCGGCCAGCATAAAATTTAGCAATATACAACAGAATGGTTTGCGATCTGTACACACTTAACAATTTCTTCTCTGCGTACTCGGTCAGTACACGTGTCGACTAAGCTCTCTGACTTGTACTAACTTCTGCTCTAACTAATTTTCCACAAGGCACTTCGACTTACGTTCTTACTTCACTCGCTGTGAAACAATTAACAGATGAGTTCAGATAGCGACCACACTGGGACCTACTGAATCTTACGCTCGTTAACTCGTTCTCTTTTTAATCCGCTCTCTAACCTCCACTTCTTCTTATCTCTATTTGTGCTCCGTTTTTGTTAATGTCACGCCACTTCATATCGGTGCTGTCATCCCCTTAATCACAACTGCCCCCTATGGTTTTTCCCTTTTACCTACTCCCCCTGTCAAAGCTGACGGGTCCCAAGTCCGGGGTTTTTATCGACTTGTTCACGTTTTGTAAATACATCCCCCTGCGGTTGGCATCGTAAATCGGGTAAGTACCGAAGTCGTATGATTCTTATCAATTAAATCCCCCCTTCGCTACTTACTTAAATAACATCTGACTTCGGTGTCAAATCTTGACCCAAGCAACAAAGTCATACGACCCCAATAAACTAACCATAACCCGATTTTGAACCAAATTTACTAATATTTTCACTATCATGTTAGGATAAAATGCGCAGAAAATACGCTAAGTCGAAAATTTGCTAGAATTACCATTTCTACACTTTCCATGCAATTCCATACGTACAGAAAATTGCATGAAAGGTCTATGATTAGTATTTTTTCATATATGGAAATTGTATGACTAGCATTTTTCCATAAACCAAAAATATTGATTTTTTTACATTTTAATTTCTCAAAATTTTTTGGTTGTGTTCGTAACCGAACACAAATGACATAAACCTTGATTACTCAAACGTAGTAACCAACGGTTTGGCCGTTTCGCATTAAAAATGCATTGGAAACAGCCTGATATGTGTTACTTCTGTCTCAGACAAATAATATAACGAAAGCAATGAACTTTTGAATTTTGGCAATTTTTTTATGGAGAGATACCAATTTCGATACCAAAACAACCAAAGATACCTGATTTCGTCCAAGATTTGAGTTTCATTGAGCATACTCAAGTCATCTGCTGATCGCCTGGCTCGATCTCTATTTACAACTATGTTTGTGAAAGTGAAGTTCATATACACGATGAAATCAGTTTTGGAGATCCCGATGACAGACGCTGAGACCAGTTTTCCTCGCAGCATTTCGGATCGATTGATTGCACGTGTGATCTGAAACGAATAATCAGAAAAATCAACTGCGCAAAAAATGCTCTTCGATAAAATACGAAAAAAATGTTTCCAAAATTTTTTTAAAAAAGTATTATAAATATTACTATATTTTGATTAAAATCAAGTTCTGATTAACCCATCAAGTTTTTTTCTTCCGGCTTAGCGTTTTAAATTATCTCAAATTTCCATTGAATTTTTACTTGTGAAATTGCGGCTCGAAGTTTTGGTAGTGTTGGTACGCATTTGCGTTTTTTATTAGATTCATGTTAAAAATAGGTCTATATTTCGACGACATCTATACCTGTTGCACGATATTTTGTGTGAAATATCGGTATGTCTCAGAGGATTTGTTAAGAAGCTCGTCTGTCCAAACTTCTTTGACCAGAATTTGAGCTTCGAAAGATCGCTCTGAAAATCAAAATGCAGTTGATATAATTTAGTCTGTCAGATTTGTGATGCAATTTGAAACACAACTGCTTTTAGAGGAAATCTGAAAAAAAAAATCACGCCATGCATTTAATAGTACTCACCGTCTAAAACAAAAAAAGGCAAAATTAGAATCGATACTTTTAAGTTTTAAACTTCAATTAATCTGGCAGTCAAATTTTTGGAAAAACAAATTCAATCCAAACTGTTCAAATATCTCAGAATTCACATTTATGTTCTAAACGCTCTGCTGGTATGCATATAAATTTTAACCTTGACCTTGCTGGTTTCTTGAATTTGTATATTGTGAAAAAAGTTAGTATACTCACATTGGCATTGAAAACCATCTCCGTTCCAAATTCCTTCAGCGCTGCAATCACAAAAATAGCTGCCATTTGAGTTCACGCAACTCGCACGTTCGTCACGACCACAGTTCACGAAATCACATTCGTTCACGTCATTGCAAAAACCAGTTTCAGTCTCCAATCTATAGCCCGAAAAGCAGTCGCAGTAAAAGAAACCGATAGTATTCATACAAACGCCGCGACCATCGCAAGATATACTCCAACACTCGTTAACATCTTCGCATACAGATCCTTCCGACGCGTTAAAACCTTTGATACAATTGCACTGATAGGACCCTACAACGTCATCACAACTGGTTGAATTGACACCGCAAAGATTCAGAAGTTGCTGCTCGGAACATTCGTCGACGTTGGTGCAGGGTTCCGATACATTGCTTCGGAAGCCGTCGGAACACTCACATAGGAATCCCCCGTGTGTGTTGCTGCAGCTTGTGTATGTATCATTTGCTCCACAGATTTCGTCTCCGAGATCCAGGCACTCATCGTTATCCTCGCAGGTACTCCCGATTCCTCCAACGTATGCAGGGTAGTCACAGGAACAGTTGAATGAACCAATCAGGTTAGAACAGTTACCATTGAACTGACAGAAGTCTTGTTGCAAGCATTCGTTAACATCTTCACAAACTTCACCGATGCCACCTAGACAAAGTTTCATCGTATATTTTAAAAGCTTTGAAGTTGAGCGAATTAGTTAATGGAACGATGTTTGCTTTTGTGATTAAATGAGATATAAAGGAGAAATTCCAGGCAAAATTTTAGCCACTATTAACTGACGAAGACAATGCACACTGTGGAATGAATTGTTTTTACCATTAAGTAAAACAATTTATAAGGGAAGATTTTGTCATAAAGCATAATTTACATTCTCGAATTACACTCAACGGAAGTTTTATCAATTTTGTAAAATTCAGAAAAAATAATTCATAGTGATTCTGTATCTAACATGTGTGACTTCTGAAAAGTGATTTTATTAAGAAAGAAGTTATACCTTCGTATCCATCATGGCACAGACATGCATATGTTCCCTCCATATTAGTACAGTTGACAGCCAGATCGGCTGAACCACAAAAATCACTAATAGTACACTCGTCTACATCAGCGCAAGGAGAGAAAAAGTCGGCAGAATAACCAGGGTTGCAGCTGCACTGGTATCCAGGGGTCAAGTCTACGCATCCGGCACTTTGGGCTCCACAGGGATTTGCAGTACATTCGTTGATGCCCTGGCAGACTCGGCCAAGGCCAGTGGTGACATATCCTGGATTTTAAAAAACATGATCTAACTATGTCAAAAACGTGATGTAATTATGTCAAAAAATATGATGTAAATATATAACTTAGGGTGATAAAGTCCGCCTATGGAATTGACCTCAGAGAGCACATCACATAGCTTAATATTAATAGCAGCACTCTTTGAAAATGCATAAAAAAGTATAGATCAAAGATATGAAACAGATTTGAAAAATTTATTCAAGTAAATTTCAGTTTTGGCAATTTAAGATCATTCGAGTACGAGTTTTTATATTACTAGTTTAGTATAAAATCAGGAAAAAATTTTTTTATTCCTATTTCTTATTATATATGATGATATAATTCAACCCTTCTCTGAAATCTGAGATATTTTCTACCATATTTTACGCATAACATTGAATACTAAATGACTTCCTGGGTCGAGGTCCGCGACTAATTCTTCGACTTTGTATGTCGCGGAAATGTTAATTCCGCGACCGAAAACCCATAGTCTGGACAGCGTTTTAAGTCGCGGACACACTCTGGAAATACCGTATCTCGGTCGCAATGGTCGAGAAATTAGTCGCGACGGCGGAAAAGTTTTTAAGCATAGAGATGATATTTGGATACTTTGGATGAAAAACAAAAAGGGTTCAAAACTGTTAAGGAACCTGTTTCTGCTTCATCTCAAGTTATCTCTGATTTTGCGAATTTTCTCTATTTCGAGAGTGGTCAAATATTACCAGGGTTGCAGTTGCATCTGAAAGTGCCGTTGAAGTCTTCGCAGGATCCGTGCAGACAACGTCCAGGGTCCTCCTCGCATTCGTCAATGTTAGTACATGCAGTCTCATTTCCCCCCTCGTACCCATCAGAACAGACGCAAGACCAGGAGCCGTTGGAGTTGACGCAGGAGTCGAAGTGAGTTGAAGGTCCACAGATTGACTGTTGTCCAGACTCCGTCTTAAAAGACGAAAAACATTTTATTTTTAGTATGATTGTTTCAGTGTTAGTATTTTTGAATTTAAGTTTTTAAAAACCAGGGAAGGTTCTTGTATATCAATTAATTTGTTTCATTTGTCGTCCCGAATGCCATCCTGAATTTCCCGCAAACTAGCTTAAAAACCACATGAAGACTATTGAAGACTAAAAATGACTATTCTAAAGCTACGAGCCAGAGGGATGTTGACAACCGGTGAAGCCGCGCATGGTACACATTCAAAGTCGGCTACCAAAATCAAAATCAAGTCGCTTTCAAGCCAGCCAAAAACCCCTTGAGGATTGCAATTTGGACCGTACGCACGCTCTTCAAGCCCCCAGCTAGTCGACGATCTGAAGACGCATGTGATTGATATCGTTTGCCTACACGAAACAAGAACCGCTGACGACATAAAAAAGCACCCATTCTCAAAGTGTTCTGCTCCGGGAATGAGAGCAGAGGCATTCACGGTGTATGAATTGGCATCCAACATCCACTATCCAACCATGTCATGGAGTAGAAAGACTGGGACCCAGTTTATACTACCCGAGATTTCATGCGGTGCCAGTAGCACTCATCATCATCTGTGCATACGTCTCCTCCAACAGATTATGTGTCAATGAACTGTACCCCAAAAAGATACGCTGAAGACAATGTTGGTTCTCCACTGAACAAAAAAAAAAAAACAGGTCATAGGGAGCTTCACAATAGGAACCCCGAACGCCAATGAAGATCGACTTGCCAACTTCGCTGTACTTATGGTCTTGTAAGTTTCAACACAACTTTCCAGAGAAAAAACCTCCCAGTCCAATTGGAGCTCAAATGATGGAAAGACCAAGATCAACTACATCGTTATTTCCAGACAACGGAGAATACAGCTATACATCGCTCAAACCGCAAAAAACTTCATTGATGTTGACACGGATGTTGCCACGTCATCTCTGAGAACCATTTGAAGCCTAAGGCATACACGCAAAATATCAAGATAGTCAGACACAACCTGGAGTGCCTACGCAACCGGCTGCAGCCAAGGAAATCGAGGATACGCTACATCAAATGTTTGACGCTGAGGAACGATGTAGACGATGTTGAAAAAAACTGGAGACGAAGTGGAAACAAATTGATCACAGAGGAAAAATTCTTCCAAGCAGCAGCGCAGAAGAAGCTCGGAAAATATTCGCGCAGAAGTTCGAAATTAGATTGAAAACTTGAATCAGCAGCGACACACTCAAATTGAACGAGAAATGCGACAAATCCCGTAAGCGATCAGCGAAGGCCGAAATGCGGAGCATATTAAAAAAGGCAGTGCGTAGAATTGGAACAACGTACTACGATAAACGTTCGTAGGAGTTGTTTAAATCAGCGAATTGTGCAACCTTGAGAACGTCTTCTCCGTAGCCACGCAACTGACAGGCAAGTGGGCAATATCAGCGAAGCTGTGATGAGTGCTGACGGTCAACATATCTGGGACTCCAAAAAACGAATAGAAGAATGGGCCAAGCGCATCGTACAGCTGCTGAACCCATCTCTGCCAGAAAAGACCAACTTAGGAAGTGAATTGCAAAAATTCTTCACCGATGTAAACTCTGACCCGCTACTTCTCAATGAAGTGAAGCAGGCAGTAGAAAGGCTCAAAAAAGCAAAGCAGCCGGACTGGAAAATAACCCACCAGATTTCATTTTTGATGGTGGCTCAGCGATAGCCGAGAATCTCACGGGTATCCTTCGATGCGCATGCGACAACCATAGAGGCATTTCTCTGTTAGTAATTGAGTACCAAATTCTCGAAAAAGTTGTCAAAAACAGTCTCAAGCCCACTTACGATGGGCTGGTTCACCAAGCAGGATTCGAAAGAACAAAATTGTAGGGATCAAGTTTTTACAATCTGTCAGAGCCTGGATCAACGACAGAAGTTCAAAGATTGGCGTACCTTATTTTTATTGACGTCGAGGATGTATTGGACAGTGTCAATAGAAACTACATCTGGAATGTGAAATTCTTGGACTCCCCGTGTGTGAAATTCTTGGACTCCCCAAAAACTCCTGAACGTACCCTGAATGCTTTACCCTTATGATTTTAATCTTATTATTGATTAGATAATGGAAAAGAACTCCGCAATGATAATGCAGGAATGGCATTAGATGACATGAAAATTACTGAACTGGGTTTTGGAGACGGCACTTGCCTTTTGGACGGCAACAAAATCGACAACAAAATCGGGAGTTTTAAGAGCCTTAAAAAAGTATGGTATCAGAGAAGTATCCCCCAATCAGTTGGAGTGAAGGTATACAGGACGTGTCTGAGAAGCGCACTCTTGTACAGCTACGAGAGCTGGCCGGTCAATTAATCTGATTTAAGCAACATCGAAATCTTCAAATATCCTTCGACAAATTATTCACTAGGGACAAGATCTTCCAACACATCTCTAGCGAAAAAGGACTTCGTGGATAAAACGATAGAAACGTGACGACTGAAATAGCTAGAACACGTACTCAGGATGAAAGACACATATTGCCCCGATGCATCATTCGTTTTCAAAAAAATGATGAACAGGAAAAACCGCCTGGTTGAGTTCAAACAATCTGGAGAAGAAATATTGGCGATGAGCTCAAGAAACATAAGAATCCCTTTAGCATGACGGCGAACGAACAGGGAGATACTATGGTTTGATTTGCGCAAATAAACCGCTCGGAACAGAAGCCAATGGAGAGCACTTATTTGATGTCTGAAATGTGGTGGGCAAAAGGCAGCATTGCTCGTAAAATTCTTGTCTTGACCTTGACCTTTTTGCTAATTATTGTAATTGATAAGTATCTATCTTGGCTGAGCGGTCGAAACAAATGTTTTTTTTTTCCGGAAAATCTCTGAACGCTAAACCTCTTTAAATTCATTAACTTCAGCCACAGAGCTTATGGTTTAAGCTAAGCCCTTGGGTTCATTAATATAATTTAATAACTGTTAATAAATCAATGGTTTAACAAAAGTTTTTGCTTGATGGTTTAATTTTTTTTAAAGTGAGCTCACAATGCATTCGTCCACATCCTGGCATAAAACATTGGGCCCACTTTGGAACCCGGAGGGGCAGGAGCAGTTGAAACTTCCGACAGTGTTGGAACAGACTCCTCCGAACAGACAGTCCACTGAGTCACACTCATTCAAATCCTCACACGCCATTTGCACGCCTCCTACAAATTAAAGGTCATTGAACAGGAAAATATTTTTATAATATGTTTAATTTTTCAAAACAATAGAAGACAAAACTTAAGAAAAAATTATAGCCGATTGCAGTGCAAGTAGTGCAGAGAGTTCTGTCAACAAAAATTATTAAAAACATTTTTTTTGCAAGCTGTGATTTTTGTTCCTTCGGCCATGAGCGCATGGGAACAAAAGCCTAGAAACTTCGACATTAGAAGTAAGCTTTCTATATTTTAAAACAATTTGTATCGCAAAATTAATCGAAAAACAAAGAAAAAATCAAAACAATTTTGTATTTTTTTTATTATTATTCTTTTTTTATTGTTGTTATTAATGGGCTAAAAGAAGCGTCAAAATGTATTTTTCTTGAATAAAACATCTAATTTCTAAAGTATAGACATGCTCGCTAGGTTTATTTGCTGGATTTAAGACCAAAAATAAAAAAATGAACCGGTTTTTCTCTTCACTGAGAATATATATTTTTTGAAAATTCGTTAATAGTGTTCAAATGACGACAGCAAGTATTTTATTTTATTAATTACTCGAACACTCCGACGATTATTTGTGGCAACTGATTTTGCGTGGAAAACAAAAAGAAAAGAAAAAACTAAAACACAAACTTTTTCACCGCTTTAAGTTGTCGGAACAATCTGATGCAATTCGATTTTATGGCCTTGAAGCTTTTCTTAGTGGTTGCGAGAAAATATTTTTGATAGTAATCGTTTATTTTTTATCGAAACTTACTTTATCGTAATTTAATCGTTAAAATATCATCATTGACCTTTATTGAAAATTAGAATGTTCTCAATTTTTTTCGAAAAAATTTTAAAAACTTTTTACTGGCCAAAATTTCCGTGAACAAATGGTTGTTTCCGTGACCGAAGTTTGAGTCAAGCAGTACCTTGATATCCATCCTGACAGAAACATTGAAACGTTCCATTGAGATTCTGACAAGAACTGACTTCTGAACCACAAGCATCGACACCTCCGTTCACAGCACACTCGTCCACATCGAGACACGAAGTGTTGTCGGAATCCGAGAGGAGGTAACCCGCGTCACACGAACAGTCGTAGGATCCGACTGTGTTTGAACAGTCGTGATCGCAATCGCTCGTGTTTCGCGAACACTCGTCGATGTCTGAAAAAAGGTGTTGTCTTTTTAGATAGCATTTTTTGGAGAATTTGACGAGAAAAATTTTATTATTGAGGTTTGTTATTTGTCAATGGAATGGGTTTTAAATTTTTTTCATTAAAAAAATCAAGTTTCCGAACATTTTAACTGTTATAATTTTCGCTAAAAAGTTTATAATTAATATAAATTGTAAATTAAAACTAGCCGATGCATTTTCCACTTGTAGTGTTAACTTCCCATCCCTCACTGCAGATACATTGGAAGGACCCGTTTAGGTTATTGCACTGGGAAAAGGGTCCACAGAATTCACTCTGCAGCTCACACTCGTTGATATCTGAAACAAATAAGATTAAATCAAACGGGACCAATTGCGGTGATACTTTCATGTACCATCGGGGGGAGAAGTTAATGCAAAAGACACCCGCCCGTTTTTGGGCGCCTGAAATCGGGCTGCAAAGTTCCAGGACGTGCTCGATTTCATTTTTTTGAAATCTTCTAGGTTTTAGTCAACATTGAATCTAAGTTGTAAACTATTTATTATATTTAAAAAAGTATACGTTTATTTTATTATAAGATAAAGAGATCGTATTTCAGACCTGATTACCTTCATAGAAGGGGCTAAGGATGTTACCTTGACAGAAGTGAATGTTGAATGTTTCGTAGCCATCGGGACAAAAACACTCGTAGCGGGTGCCGTTGTTCACGATCGGGTCCAAGTCCACACATTCGTGTTCACAGGCCGCAATTCCGCACTCGCATTCGTCGATCTCTGTTCACAAACCAAATAGAACTTTTTCAGTATTTTTAGGGACGTCACCCTTTTTTGTAGTTTACGTTTAAGCGCTTCTAACTAACCGCAGCAGTTTTACATTTTTTGTCTTAATATGAAGTTAAGATGATTCACACTAACTTATTTTTGAGTTAGTGTTTAGTTTTTTTGGAGTGGTTAATTAAATTTCAAAACAACAGGGCGTTACTTTCTTTTAGCACTTGAATCTGAACATGAGTTGATTACATTTATACTAAACCATTCAGGAAGATAAAGGTAAAAGCAAGAAAAAAATAGACGTATATATTTAAGTTTTTTGAAATGATCGCTACCCGAAGAAAATGCTTTTCGTCAGGTTCAATTTAAATTCTAAATTTGTTTCTTATAATCCCAGAGGCTTTTACAGGAACCCAGTATTGCTTAAAAAAGTATTGATTCGTCTTCCATCCACACACCATCTTATTGTCGTCATGACTCGCTTGTTCTCTTTTTAGTTATGAAATGAGAGGAAAAAGCCATACTCACGTATGTCGCACTTGTGCGAAGTGGAGTTCAGGGCGTACCCACTCTTTAGAACACACACGCATTGTCCAGTGATAGAAATACACAGGTCGTAGTCGCCCCAGTTGCACCCGGGAGTCGTATCATTACACACCGGGTTGTCTGAAACAGCCAAAAAAACTAAGTCCAATATTTGAAAAAAATACAATTGAGGAGCTTTTCGGATATACATTTGGAAATATATATATGCGCGAGATAATGCAGAACCGGGAGGGGGGGGGGGGGTGAGTCGAAGGTATGGTCGGCAACAGTTCGTTACAGGTTCGTTGCAATTAGAAAAAAATTTTCGTTCTGAGGAAAAATATCAGCAATTTATTTCTAATAAAACCCATCCAGAGAAACTAACTCTGTGATCCTAGCGCCGTGTCTTGGCCGCCGAACGCACATTCCTCCACATTCAAAATTGCCTTCACCTAAAATACAAGCCAATCATTCAGTATAAGTTACAAGCCATTCGGCTCTTGTTCAATCACCCCTCATCGCAGCAAATAGCAAAAATAGGGGAGGGGGGATTCGAAGAGATTCTAACCCCTCGCCACTCACCCGACAGCTCCCCTTTGCTTTTATAATATCCATTTTTGCCGACCAACCCCAAAAAAAATCACCTAAAACGCAATTTTCGGCCTGTTGTTTCAAAATTTGCCAGTGGTGCAGCAAATTTGGTCGAAATAGGTTCTAAATTTGATCATATTGCCACTCAAAGGGCTCTCTTTGACACTGTATAGGAAATCCATTCAGTTTCGACCGACGGATTTTAAATTTTTTTGAATGAATACTGAATTTGAGTGGAGTGAGAAGCGCGCCCCGAAAAACGGAACTTTGGGTTTAAAGTTTTCCAAAAACTGCTAAAAACATTCTATCTTTCTTCCAATTGCCTGCAACGCAGAAATTTTTTTCAAAATTGAGCTCTATTCAGTGTTTTGGTGTCCTCGAATACTGAATTTGATCATTAAAAAAATGTGGTGTCAAAATTTCTTGAATTTTTTTTTGAAAATCCCCCTCCCCTCGGAAAAATCTTAGAGCCTCACCTGGATGGAGCGTACAGCCCAGAAATCCGGAAAACTTTTAAAGGGGAGGAGGTAAACAAATTTTACTGCAAGAGAAAAGTCAAAAACTAACCTGCGGACCAAAAACGAACAGCAACCATAAAAAACCGCTCATATTTGACAATTTCGGTTTCAATTTTGATTAACAGGTTCCAAATTAAATGTATGGGCCAAATACTAGACTCAAATAAAAAACCACAGATTTAAACCGTCAGCCAATTTATGTGGACTCTGATAACGTTTTGTTTTGCGACGGTCAGCTGATTGGAAAATAAATTAAAAACAGGTGCGTTTTTCCAGTTTTATTAATTATTGATTATCTATCGGAAAATGTCAAATTTCACCTGAAAACTAAAATCGTTGAGTTGGTTTCATGGATGATATATGTATTCAGTTTTTCATGAAAACAGATTGATCAATTTGTCGCCGCTTTCGAACCATGAAATTGTATCAAAAGAAACCATAGTCGTTATTAGTCATCATCCTAATTTTATTCATCAACTGACTTCTTCATCAGTTTTCATTTTTTATAAAAAAAAAATACTGGGAAATTTGTTTTCTGCTATTGCAACATACCATTTTAAGTTATTGTATATATTATCAATCAATTTCGGCTTCCTGCAAAGACGACAGAAAGAAAAACATCATTGTAATAAAAATATAAAGTAAATCTTTACCATCAAATTTTAATTCATTTTTGCCTTCGTTTTCTATAGTAACAGATCAAAAATAGAAACCAACGAATACTACCATTACCATATATGACTTTCTGACTGGTTGTGAGGTATTGAAATTCAATCTAAGTATAGATCAATAAGTTGATTGATATTTGATTTATTATTTATCTCCTTTTTTGATGATCACAAATATAAATTTGAAGGAAAAAAGCCATTATGAAGTTTTGCATGTTTACACGGCCGGCATCAACGAAAATTCAGCCAGATTCAGAAATCTATAAGGAAAATGATCATATGCTACTAAAGTTACTCAAAATGTATGGGCTGTGATATTAATTTCTTTGAACCACTGAAATGGGATCCACCTTATTGCATAATTACCAACACTAATTTGAAAAGATGAGATGGTATGAACTTTTATTTTCGGTTCAATTATTAATTCAATTTCAACGCGCACGTTGTCGGTTTCAAAACAAAAACAAAAGTAGTCGGTGTGACATGTTTTGTGCTACCTGGTTTTGCGTGGAAAAAAACTCTGAACTCACATAAAAAAACAACAGTAGCCTAAATTTTCCGAGTGTCTTGTAAAGTATATGAAGTATGAACTTTTATTTTATTCTTTTAGCCTAAAAACAACAGTAGCCTAAACTTTCCGAGTGTCTTGTAAAGTATATGAAGTATGAACTTTTATTTTATTCTTTTAGCCTAAAAACAACAGTAGCCTAAATTTTCCGAGTGTCTTGTAAAGTATATGAAGTACTGTTTGCCTAAAAATGAGTTGAACAAAAGAAATTTTTTTTCAAAGATTTTCTACACGCATTGACTAGAAAAAAATGATGAATATCTCATCTAGTATCACTTTACTTGGACATATTAGCTTGCAACTTAAGTTGAAATAAATTCTGAGTCCGATTAACCTGCCGCATATGTTCTTTAAAGCTGGTGAAATGTTTATCACACATTGGCCACATTGGTAAAGATTATACTCTTTGTCTTCGCAAAAAATGTCATGCGAGAAAATTCGATCAATTTCTGAGCTCAGGCATCAATGTTTTTCCACATGTACGAAACGCTCGTCCTTTTTTTACAAAATGTTTTCGTCAAATAACTTTTTTTCAAACCACGGTTTAGGAATATCTTTGGTTTTTAAAACGAGCTGAACAGTGGCTTAGCAAAACTTGCGTAAGCATTTTTTCCCATAAAAACACAGCTAATAACTAAAATTTATAAGTTAACTAGAAACAATTCACCTGGTGTATTGATAACCTAGGGCAAATCTGCAAATTTTTTGCTTTACAGCAAATACCTGTAAATTATTTCGGGAGATTCAAGCAGTATCAACCCTAAAAACCAATGAGATTTTTTTTTGATTTTCAGTTTTTTATAAACATATTTCTACACTTTTTCAGTTGTTTTTTGTGTTTTCAGACGAGCCTTTTCAGAATTTTCGACAGATGTCATTAGATCGAAAAGCGGACGTTTATTGTTGATTTACCTTTTTCGAAAACGGATTTTTGTCAAAAAAAATCATTTTATGGGGAATCCTGCCCTTTTAACACCTAATTTTCACAGATAAGTTGTCCATAAAGGATAGGTCCAGGTAATGGCATTTATTCTGTAGACTTCAAAAACATGATTTCAATACTGTACGAATGTTAAGATATTGATGAAAAAAGAAGTCTTTATCCGCTTGAAAAATGTGAAAACGCTAGTTCAACTTTTTAGTTTTGCAGCTATAAGGTAAAAAAAACTAGTCATCTCATCTTAACAGTTTTTTTAAATCGACTTCCCAAAGGAGGTTTGATTTCAAGTACGTTTCGTTGTTGTTTAGACAGCTACTGGAAGCGACTACTGAAAGAATACGCCCCAACACTGATCAAACCAACCAAGGGGAAACAAAAAGAGGAAGCAATAGAAAAACAATACCTCGAGTGGATCCTCGAATACTTTACTCCACGGGTCCCTGGGTAAGGTTCTTGAAACGTTTACCCGCCCTGATGGCATTGCGCGCTCATGCGTAATCAAAACAGCATTAGGAACACTTACTGGGCCAAACTGAACAACGCATGTTCCCGGTATGACAATCTACGACTCATTGCGTTTCCTAATATCCTTCGGTACATATTCATCTGGTTGTCGCCGCTTTCTGGCATATCGCACAGAGGGAGATTTTGAAGGACCCTGTCTGCAGTCCGTATAGACAATAACCAGCCGCTGGTGTCTGCAGTCCGCTGGGATAGACAAACACCAGCCCGTTTCATCAAAATGCCTTAGATGAAAGTGCAACTACCACCTAACCATTTTTATAGACATAAACAACACAAGGATGCTTCGTTCAATGAAGTTGTTGAAAATTTTTGGAAACTCGACGAATCCTGCACAACTTCTAACCTAACTAAAGCAACATTTTCAAGCGAACTTACTGAACAATTATATAACTAAGTATTCAACATGACGGAACCCGCTACCAAAACAATTTGCTTCGGAAGAAGAACATAACGATGCGAAACAACAACGCGGTTGCTACAGCTCATTTTGAATCTTCACATCGGCGACTACAAAAATACAAACTCAAAATGCAACTCTACGATAAATCATTAATAAGTGATATTGATAAAAGTTACGTGATATCCATTACTTTCCTACATCCTCCACCGTTATGACTATGTTACCTAACGCACCATCCGGTTATAAATCCCCAGAAACCTGGAAAAATTCAACATGTAACAAACGCTGCATCGAAATCCAGGGGTTTTTCTCCTAACTCCTGTTTAGAACTGGGACCGGATCTTCTTAATAACTTGTTTGGTTTGCTTATGAGGTTTAGAGCAAAACCAATAGCAGTTTCTGTTGATATAGAGGGCATGTTTATGCAGGTAGGCGTAAAAGAAGACGGTCAAAATGTACTACGGTTCTTCTGGCATACTAATCAAGGAGTGAAACAGTTTCAGTATACGCGTCTAGTCTTCGGAGCTAAGTGCTCAAGCACAATAGCCATCGTTGCACTAAATCAAACAACCGTCGACTTCTGCAACAAAGAACCCAACACACAGCAATTAATTCGTAACAACTTCTACATCGATGACTTCGCTCATCCTTATGACAATCTAGTGGAAGCCCAGGAATCAACTAGAGCTGTAAAGGTGGCACTTCAGAAAGAAGGATTCAATTTAACCTAGTTGCATCGTTGCACTAAATCAAGCAACCGTCGACTTTTGCAACAAAGAACCCAACACACAGCAACTAATTCGTAACAGCTTCTACATGGATGACTTCGTTCATCCTTATGACAATCTAGTGGAAGCCCAGGAATCAACTAAAGCTGTAAAGGTGGCACTCCAAAAAGAAGGATTCAATTTAACCAAGTTTTTGTCCAGTACTACCGAAGTGCTTGATTTCCTCAAGGAACCCAAAACTGAAAATAAGAGTACTATTCATCATGTTTTGGGAGTGAAGTGGGATACAATGAATGACACACTCATCATTGAGCCTGTACTGATAAACAATATAACTGCTAAAGAAATGTCTCTACGTAAAATTCTGTCTAATGTAGCCAGAATGTTCGATCCACTGGGATTGATAGCCCCATTTGTCATAACACTAATTTGAAAAAACGGATAATATGAACTTTTTTTCTGTTCAATTATTAATTCAATTTCAACGCGCACGTGTCGGTTTCAAAACAAAAAGAAAAGTAGTCGGTGTGACATGTTTTGTGCTACCTGATTTTGCGTGGGAAAAAACTCAGAACTTACATAAAAACAACAGTAGCCTAAAATTTCCGAGTGTCTTGTAAAGTATATGAAGTACTGTTTGCCTAAAAATGAGTTGAACAAAAAAAAATTTTTTTTCAAAGATTTTCTACACGCATTGACTCGAAAAAAATGATGAATATCTCATCTAGTATCACTTTACTTGGACATATTAGCTTGCAACTTAAGTTGAAATAAATTCTGAGTCCGATTAACCTGCCGCATATGTTCTTTAAAGCTGGTGAAATGTTTATCACACATTAGCCACATTCGTAAAGATTATACTCTTTGTCTTCGCAAAAAATGTCATGCGAGAAAATTCGATCAATTTCTCAGCTCAGGCATCAATGTTTTCCCACATTTACGAAACGCTCGTCCTTTTTTTACAAAAATTTTTCATCAAATTACTTTTTTTTCAAACCACGGCTAAGGAATATTTTTGGTTTTTAAATACTTATTTCTACACTTTTCAGTTTTTTTGTGTTTTCAGACGAGCCTTTTCAGAATTTTCGACAGATGTCATTAGATCGAAAAACGGACGTTTTTTGTTGATTTATCTTTTTCGAAAACGGATTTTCCGATTGGCCTGGTCTAGTCCGCGCAACTGCTCGTGTTATACAGTTGAAAGATATTCTTCGTCAGAAGTAAAATCGTAATTTAAGAATTGCCGACCGGGAGATAGGTAAAACTTTACTCTACGAGCAATCACAACACGCTACTTTCGTTGATAATCCAAACGGTTTAACTACAAACAAAGCATTGGACAAAAAAGATGCTTTACTGCCGTACTCACCTTTCATGGATAGTATTCTTATTCGTGCGCGAGGACGACTGAGGCAATCACCAAAACCAGATGCAACAAAGTACCCTATTAATCAATATGCAAAGAAACTTTAGGTTCAATTTATGATCAAAAACGCTTATCATAAACCTATGCACCTTGGCGCTGAATTTTTACGACACTATTTGCAACAAAGCTTCATAATTTTGGGTCTAGAGAAGCCATGAGACATGATCACCATCACTGTTTCTGGTGCCGCCGCTTTTAAGGGAAAGGTTTTAAACCTTGTATAGCTGATCCCCCTGCATAGCGCTACGTAGCTGATCCATATCTATTCAAAAACGTTGGATTTGACTACATCGGTCCTTTCTACATTGCTGAAAAAATACCACGGAATAAAGGATATTTGTCTTTTTACTTGTTTAACAACGCATGCTATCAACTGGAAAACAAATGACAATCTGACAACTGAAAACTGCTTGACAACAGTTCGTTAAATTCATGGCGTGACGTGATTTCCCTACACCGTCGCGTTATGCAAATTCTTTGCGGATAACGCAGCATATTTTCTCGCCGCACGTAAACAAATATATGCTTGAAATTTGAGTCTATTTAAAAAAATTACTACTCGTTAGTTCGAGGTGCTTGATTTGTTTTTCAATTTTTTCGACCAACTTTCTGTATGTTTAGACTTTTCCAATCAAATCGTGTTGGTTACAAATTTTTTGGTAAAAATTTAACTTTCTCGATGCAACAAAACAATGTTTTTGACTGTGTTCAACCCAGTTTACACATATTTGTTTATGAATACTTTTGGCTGTCTCAATTTCATCGTTAAACAAAAAATTTCCGAATAGGATTTCAGTGCTGTCAAATTCAATCCAACCAGAGTAACTAACAAACAAGTCACTTGGAAATTTGCGCTTTTTAAAATAACAAAACAAAATAGTTCTAATTCATTTAAAAAAAATGAAAATTTTGAGAATTTATTGTATGCTCGACCCATTTTTTGACTGTGCTCGACCTTTGCTTTGACTGTATTTGACCTATTATTCAACACTCTCGACCACAAATGGATATGTTTTGACTGTGTTCGACCTATAAAAATCAGTTAAACGCTGAATATCAAATGCTAAACTATTTTCTAAATCAAAAATTCCAAGTTTGTCACGATTTTCTTTACAAATTTCAACTGATTCACAGATAAAATGAATATAAATAATAGATCCGGGTAATGGCTTTTAGTCTGTAGACTTCTTTTCAAAAACATGGTTTCAATACTGTACGAATGTTTAGATATTGATGGAAAGAGAAGTCTTTGTCTGCTTGAAAAATGTGAAAATGCTGGTTCATTTTTTTAGTTTTGCAGCTGTAAGGTATAAAAAATAGTCATCTCCACTTAACAGTTTTTTTAATTCGACCTCCCAAAAGGCGTTTGATTTCAAGTACTTTTGTTTGTTGTTTAAATAGCTTCTGGAAGCGTCTTCTGAAAGAATACGCCCCAACCCTGATCAAACGAACCAAGGGGAACCAAAAAAAGGAAACCATAGGAAAATAAAACCTCGAGTGGATCCTCGAAGACTTTACTCCACGGGTCCCTGGGTAACATTCTTGATACATTTACCCGCCCTGATGGCATTGCGCGCTCATGCGTAATCAAAACAGCATTGGGAACACTTACTGGGCCAAAGTGAACGAAGCATGTTCCCGGTATGACAATCTACGACTCATTGCGTTTCCTAATATCCTCGACAGTTCGGTACATTTTCATCTGGTTGTCGCCGCTTTCTGGCATATCGCACAGAGGGAGATTTTGAAGGACCCTGTATGCAGTCCGTATGGAGTGCGCAACTTGCTGGGTTGGACAAAAACCAGCCCGCTTCATCAAAATGCCTTAGATGAAACTGCAACTATCTTCTGACCAATTTTATAGACATAAACAACACAAGGATGCTTCCTTCAATGAAGTTGTTGAAAATTTTTGGAAGGTCAAAAAATCCTGCAAAACTTCTCACCTAACTAAAGCTACATTTTCAAGCGAACTTATTTAACAGTTAGCGTTTATAGAACAAAGTATTCCACATAACGGAACTCGCTACCAAATCATTTTGCTTTGAAAGAAGAACATAACGATGCGAAACAATTACGCGGTTGCTACAGCTCATTTTGAATCTTCACATCGACGACTACAAAAAGACAAACTCACAATGCAACTCTACGATAAATCATTAATAAGTGATATTGATAAAGGGTACGTGATATCCATTAGTTTCCGACATCCTCCACCGTTATGACTATGGTACCTAACGCACCATCCGGTTATAAATCCCCAGAAAGGTGGAAAAATTCGACAAGTAACAAACGCTGCATCGAAATCCAAGGGTTTTTCTCCTAACTCCTGTTTAGAAATGGGACTGGATCTTCTTATAACTTGCTTGGTTTATTTATGAGGTTTAGAGAAAAACCAACAGCAGTTTCTGTTGATATAGAGGGTTTATGCAGGTAGGCGTAAAAGAAAACGATTAAAATGTACTACGATTCTTCTGGCCGATTAATCAAGGAGTGAAGCAGTATCAGTATACGCGTCTAGTCTTCGGAGCTAAGTGCTCAAGCACAATAGCCATCGTTGCACTAAATCAAACAGCCGTCGACTTCTGCAACAAAGAACTCAACACACAGCAACTAATTCTTAACAGCTTCTACATGGATGGCTTCGTTCATCCTTACGACAATCTACTGAAAGCCCAGAAACCAACTAAAGCTGTAAAAGTGGCACTCCAAAAAGAAGGATTCAATTTAACCAAGTTTCTGTCCAGTACTACCGAAGTGCTTGATTTCCTCAGGGAACCCAAAACTGAAAATAAGTGTGCTATTCATCGGGTTTTGGCAGTGAAATGGGATACAAGGAATGACACACTCGTCATTCAGCCTGTACTGAAAAACAATATAACGGCTAAAGAAATGTCTCTACGTAAAATTCTGTCTAATGTAGCCAGAATGTTTGATCCACTGGGATTGATAGCACCATTTGTCATCACTCTCAAAATACTGCTTCAACAGCTTTGGCAATTTGGTATAAGTTGGGGTCAAGAAATTTCTCAAGAATACATCCCAATACTTGGAAAATGGACCCAAAAAATGATATTGTGAAATTACCGAAGCTCATAGGCCAAATCGGCAGACACAGTGATATACAACTACATGTTTTCACCGATACTTCTCAGTGCGCCATGGCATCTTGTATCCACATCCGCATTTCAAACCAAGCACAAAAGCAATCATCATTTACGATTGGAAGAACCAAGTTCTCGTCGCACACTTAACCAAAAAAACATACCCAAGCTCAAATTGCAGGCTGCGTTAATGGGTGCACGTCTCTGCAAATTTAAAACCGAAGACTCTCGACTAAATTTCAACACCCTTCAATTATGGACGGATAGTACGACGGTACTTTCATGGATCAACAGTCCAGAAAATAAAAGTTTTATTGTGCGAAAAGAATTAACGAAATTCTGTCAACTTCTGAAGCCCAACAGTGACAACATACACCCTGTAAACGGAGCCCGAATACTCTTACCAGAATCTGATTGGCCTCAACCAAAACTACAGGTCGTCACAAATTTCCAACCGATTTTCGCAACTAAAG